TCATGAATGATATTTTGAAGGGTGATAATCAATTAACGAAGGTATGGTATCTTTTCTTCTGTTGGACAGGATACTTCGTGGAGCATAAAATTGGAATTAGAAAGGGAAATTATAGAATGCAGATAGCAAATTTGACTGCATTCGCACCCTTTTTCCCTGCAGCTGGAAAGTTTAAGTATACAAGTTCCGTAGCGCACTTTTTAGCTCAAGTTCATGATGATCCACAGCTACAGAAATTGCTACAGACTGTATGCTCAGTAAACCTTGCAAATGAGGGACATTATTTAGCTTTTGATGAAGCGCTTGAAACTTACGGCGTAAAGTTCATCAAACAAAATATAACTGAAAATCTTACCGACCAATCGACTGTGATGCTGAAGATTAAGGCAGCCCAGAGCGAGAGAGATCATCTATCAATACTTCTTGTAGAATACACTGATAACATTGTGACAAGTCAAAATGCTCACGTGATCAAGTCACACAAAGATTCACTCTGGTCCTTGGTCGCAAAGTTATCATCCACCTTTGGTGAACCAAATTCTGCAACACACTATTTGTTCGGAAATGCATCAGAAATTAGTGAAAATGGCATTAAGAATATTCTTTCTTTCTATGAGTCTGAAAAATTGCATTTTCAACAAATACTTACACAGAATGTGTATAAAACCGAGCCCCAAGTAGCTACTGGACGTCGCGCACGAAATGTAGTTAATTACACTCACACTCAACTTGAGAATATGAAGAAATACAAACCAATCCAAGCGTTAACTGTTCAACAGAACACTTCAGCATCTGAAACTAGCCATCTAAAACAGACATGTCACATTACTACAGATGCAGAGAAAACGATACTTATCCAATTGTTCAGATTTAAAGATTTACCCCCCGAAGACGCAATCTCGGAAGTGTTGTTGCAACTCCAAACTGTCTTTTCAAGCTGGATGGCTGAAAGAATCAAATAGTATTGGAGAAATAACCGTCCCAATCCCAATAAGAGAATTAAAAAAATAGAGTAACATTAGATCGTCAACCTCGAATTGTTATATATAGCGAGCGAAGCACTTACATGATCCTGATAATCTTTGAACCTCTCTAGCTTCCGCGAATATCGCAAACTGATAGATAGAATCCCTCCCCTCCTCCCCTCCCCGAGTCAACTAAATTTTTTGCTAAACCATATACTTGTTAATAAAATAATCTAACTGGCTATAAAAATTAAGACTTTATATATAAAAAAAGAATACTTATAATTAAGCGTCCAAAAGCCGCAAGTAAAACACCTTTGCACTAATAAGATGTTTTGAAGTGCTCTTCATTTGCGGTCTATTGCAAAGAAAAATCAGCTTAAAACTGTGTTAGTTGGAAGAAGATCTTAGCATTTAGCTAAAAAAACGCTATTTTTCGTGTCAAATTTTCGCTGGAATATAGTCGCGCAAACATACCTATTTCTAGTATGAAATGAAAATTTAAGGCATGGAGATTCATACTTGTCGAGGGTCAAAAGACCATTTCTTATATACCAATTGAAGTATATTCACGCAGAAGTTACAGCATAGCATGTTACATGAAAAAATTTATTATCAAAAATCAACCACGGGGACATGTCCTGTGACTGATAAGATAATTATAATTCAATAATATTAAATGTAAATAATTCAGTAAATTATTTGATCAAAGTTTATTATATAACAATAGTCATATTTCTTTTATAGTTATCAAATTTTGCTTTTCTGAAAATGATGATTATAGAGGGATTTGATTATAATATTAATAATATTTGTGATTAAATGATCTATAAAATTAATATTATTAATAAAATTAATCTATAAAATTAGTGTTATTAATGAAATTGATCTATAAATTAATAATACAAATATTATGAGTAATTATTATAAATATAACATGTATTTTAGATAGAATTAAATAGATTTCTGAGCTTTTAGTTTTCTTTACTTTGATAAAAGACTTTAAGTCTTTTTACTTAAAGATTTTTATTTGAGAATTCTCATTACATATTCTTTTAATTTTAATTTTTAGTTTGAATTTTTGTTTTAATGATCAACCTCTGTATTAACTAGAATTCCAAAATTTGATTCAGTTTAATTCAAGTTTGACAAGTTCAATTCAATACACACTCCTACACTATATTACCAGAAATTGAAAAAAAACATAGTAAAATTGACATTGTTTCTTTATATTAAAATTTATTATTTTATTAAT